AAATTATTTGTTGTTAAAAATATTTATTAGTGCAATGCTTAGAGTAGAATGTCGTAAATCAATATATATATCAATATATATCTATATATATATCTATTATATCTATATATATATATATATATGTATGATTTATATAAATATATAAATCAATATATACATATCGTCGTAGAAGAGTATTTTTTTCTCCGTCAAATCTTCTTTACTTCAAGTCTATATCGAATCTGTCCAACCTGTACTTTTAGCTCTTGAACAGATTTTAATAATCCATGAACCATTTAAACAGTCTAAACTTTCACTCCCCGATCATCTAGCACTATATAATGGATTTTTTAGACGATTTTTGATCTGATAACAATCTGAATATTTCGGTCATACGAGTATCAGTGACCACAGAGGAATTCACTAAATCGTTTCTCGGTGATAGAGATATTTTTGACAATTGTAAAGCGAATGAGCTAGCCAGAATTAGTGCTTCAAGACTTCACTCGGAAGAAGTAAACAATCTGGGCACATCGTTAGTATAGTGCAAACTGTTACTGAGTTTTTCTGTGCTGAACTTTTTATTAATAGATGCGGAAACTCAACAATATTTAGGTATCATATGCAAATCGATATAGTTTAGATCTCTCGTAGAGACAGCAGTCTTGTGGTAAGTTTACTTACAAGTCGTGGTAAATAACGGAATCATGTTAGAAGGTTGAATGACCTCTTCAATTATATCTATCGCAGTTGTGGGGAGAAACGATAAAAGTGCTTATCATCTGCTTTGTCTTTGCTCCGCTCATGTACGGTGGCGACTTATAACTTTAGAAGCACCCTTCCTAGAGTATCTTGATCAACTACAAGTACTCTTACTAAATACCATTTTAAACTTTGCCAAATGTTGCAGGTGGTTTTAAATGCCAAGTTTTTCCATTATATGGTAACATAGTGGGTCAAGTGCTTTAAGTGGATCGGCTTTTGGACCTAACCTAACCTTATACGTTTCTTAAGCACTGAAATTATTGATGCAAAGTATCAAATAGGTGTCCATGGTTTTTTTAGGCTTTTATTTGTTTTCAGAGACGATTTTCTTAAACAAAAATCAAAGCCTGATGAGCAAAAGAAATTTATTTTTTTTATTACTCAAAATTTACGATTTTTCTCTCCTGTAGTTGTCAAACAATGATGTCAAACAAGTTGTAGTCAAATGAAACATGTAATTATAATATAATACGTATTGTGTTTAACAGATGGTTACTTATCAAAACAGTGCTGTGTTTGAAGTTAATACGCCGGAAGCTCAAAAAGTCACTGAATAATCAACGTACCTCCGTTTGTTGAAACTGTTTATAATTAATCAGAAAACACCTCTTCAACTTCATAGTTGTTCTCAAACTGGTGTTCTGTTGTTCTATTGTTTCCAAAACTTGTTGCGTTATCAACTTTCTACAATTTTATGTTTTTATTTACCTATAATCTAAATATAATATTTATAAAGAATATTTACAAATACCTTAAATTTATGTCTTAACTTTAAAGAGCTCTTAAAATGTTATATGTAAATGTCATAAAGTATAAAAAAAATTCTGTTTCTTAAAAACATATTTATTTATATTTGTTGCAGCCACATCTCTGATAAAAACTATAAGTTGACCTTATGAAATTTATTCAGAAAAATACTGTAAATCCATTTGCTAATACGTATCCTACACACCTAATCCTTGTGCTTGCCCTTTGCCATTGCCTGTGTATTTACTTACTATTTACTAGTCACTTTTATCTGGTCGACTAAGCAAACAAGCTGCTCAAGCCGAATGTAGTTTCGAATGAACAGGAGTAAAAGGATTTACGGCTCGTAAACATTGCATTTATTTTCTCCGACTGATGAATGCGTAAATATGTTCAAGATTGTCCTTCGATGAATGGAAATTTCAAATGAAAAAATTATAGTTACTAAAAGAGAAGTTCTTAGCAATTCTTATTTATTCAAAAGCAATAAAAAAACATATGCTCCCTTAAAGAAAGCTTAAGCTCAAAGTCAAGTAATACGAAATGTCCTTACCTATTTGTCAATTTGTTTCAGTGCAACCTGTTCACTTAACGACTACCCTTTCATCAGTAATACAGGATTTCGATTTCATATTGGGAACCTGTACTTTAAAATCCTGTACGATATATTTCATTTCTATTTTCTGACAAAAATTAAAATCGAAATTAACAAGCTCTGGTACTTTAATTAAAATGGAAACTAAGGCTACTTGAAAAGAGTTGCCAAGGCCGGTTGTGTTGGTATGGAGAGGTCATTGAATCTTTTATATTTCAACTGATGAAATCCGTTTGTGTGATATTAAATGGTTGAAAACTGTGTATTTAATATTAATTTCTTGTGTTAATGAGCTTGTCAGTTTTGCATTAGAAAGCTAATTAGCTATATTTGAATAAATTATTTATCACAACTCCTTATTAGGAGCACATTTCGGCTGTCTATTTAAGCATTTACGGATTTGCTCCCTAAAGTGTTTTATAGTTTTCAACTCATTATTGCAAGAGATTCATTTATTTTTCCAGAAGTCTCATTAGTACATTTTATCACTTTTTTTTTGTAATCACCTAAACTTGAATAGAGTCCTTTGCGTTAACATTATTGTGCGGAGCAGTTGGTCTCAAGCATACTTTCGGGCGTTGTACCAATTTTTTGCTTCCATGGCAAACGCTACGAATTTCCGAATTTAACACAACCATGTTGTGCTCAACGTATTCTCCTGAGGCTAAATTATCTTGTTCCGTTTCGTTTGTTTCTAGTCTTACACGAATATATGCACGGATAAAAGTAGTTTGACTTTTCTCGTCCCTTCTGTGATTTCAGTTTTTTACGAAGCCATCTTTTACGTGTCAGTAGCACGGCGGGCCTTTGTTCCTCCAAAGGCAGTTCTTGTTATTTCATTTGCACTTTTTTTTCTGTTTTATTTTTTTTTTTTGTGGTGAAGCGGCTACTTTTCTAATTTTGTTAATTTTTTTTTTTTTGGCTTTGTTCAATTGCTAATGTTAGCTCTTCCATTGTGGCGGTTGATAGTTGTCCTCGCTTAAGGAACTTTGTGTGCAGATACTTGAACGTTCAGTTTTCGTTTGCTTGATGTTGCCACACTTTTTTACTTGTGATTTTTTTCTATTTGGGAAAATGTTACATTTTTAAGCTGGAAGGTCTTAACTTTGTTACCACAAATGCTTGTTTTCTGTGTAAAATTAAAATTTTTTTTCCTAAAAGCGAAGCCTTCCCTTTAATGATATTAAATTTTTAATTTGCATACAAAATTCACTACAAAAAATGTCCACAATTGTCCTACTCCGAACACTAATTAGACAACTTAAATTGAGGCACAGGAACTGAAAATGTTGAGTGTTTAATTTTTTTTTATTAATCGGCGTTAATTTTTTATTACTTTTTTTAGCTAAACATTTTTAAATAAAGTTTAACTATTCGAGATTAAAAAAATTTTGTTCAAATTTTAAAATAAATTTTTTTTGTGGAATATAATTGCAGTTTCCACAAAATCGTTGCCTTAAAATAAATCCTACGGACAGTAGGCTTCGGATAGTAGTGAACTGCAACAACAAAAATTTTTTTTACATTATATTAATTAAACAAATTTTTGACTGACCAGATAGAATATGTAAAAGTTTTCTTAAATTTTAAAATAAATTTTCTTAAAAAATATAAATACATGTATCAGTTTATTCAGTAATCAGTTGAAATGTATCATCTCATACCTTTATGTGCTGAACTACTTTAGTCATAGGTATTATTTTTCAAAAAAAATTGTTTCTATTTCTATATAAGATTCTAGTGGAATTACAAAACATGCCATCAGCTAACTGGTTTGTCGTTTTCTTAGAAAATTATAATCTTGTAAGAAGCAATTAGGTCACAAAGAGATGTCTTATATCGGATAGTAACTAAAATAATTAATTGTGTTCTTAAAAGATGCTCCGTAATGTCAAGGAAATATATGAGGTAAATTTTTTTTCCTACTAATGACCACTGTTTTTGCATTAACAATGGAGAATAACTACTTAACGAAATATTTATTACTATTTAATTTAATAACTATTTAATTTCAATATTTCCTAAGATTACTGATGATTAGTACTTGACAATACTCGAAGCAGTGTTGTATAGTCAGCTTTGTTGTTATTTCTTCATTACGAATCGAACCTCTCTAATAATTTCTTTTCGTCATAAGACAAATTATAGAAAATACTAACAACAATATCGTATTCGCTTTAGCAAACTTGTGAAATTACACCTACAAAATACACTTTACATATACTCGTAGTAAGTGAAAACATGTCTAACAGATGTCTCGAGGTATATAAGAACAGATTTGAATAAACGCATACAGGTGAAAGACCTATAGTACTGATATTTTAATAATTATTTTTTTTTTAAGAACTCTTTAAAAATTTAATTAAATTTAAGCACAGTGAATGTAAAGCTTCAATAGCCCTTTAACTATCAGTATAAATCTCTGCAGTCGTGGTCCTAACTCTTTCTGCTATGCAACCGAATTTCTTTTGGACGTGAGGTGATTTCTAGTTGATCGATTTTAAGAAGATTATTAAGCATATTTAATGTATTTTTGACTCATATATTTAGTAAGTTAAAGTTACTATATATTACTATATTATATCTGCATAGAATATTCTTTTAGTAGATCGGAATTGCAGTTATATGAATTTATTTTTGCATTAGAAGACCCTGAGTTTCTTGACAAAAATGTAATAACTTTTCATTTTCAGTTGTAGTTAAACTTCAATACTGATGTGTACTAATATTCCAACTAACTAAGGAATCTAGTAATGCCAATTTGTATATTTCAGTCCCTATTCTCGATGGCTCATATATAAGTATGATTTATAGAATTTTGTGATAAAAATTTTGATGAGTTTAATTTTTTTCAAGTAACTAGTGATTTCGTTTTTATCTCTATAAGAAAAATATGCTATTAAATTGTTGTGCATTTATAAATCTTTATTATTTATTTATTATTGTTACAATTATTAATAATTTAATTTAAAATTTTGAATTTATTTGCGACAAACTTGAGGTCCTTCTCCAAGTTTCATTCCGCGACAGCCTCTACGTCTTGTGATCATAATTTCTGAAATTTATTTGAAAGTGTGTATTTAGTGAGATAAATTTATAAAAATATTAAAATAATATATTAATATTATTAAATATTAAATAAATTTTTCGATAAAAATTATTTTGCATTATTATGATATCAATTTAATGAATATTTAGGTTATTAATAATTATTTAATATATTTAACTTAATTTTTTTATTAATTATTATGTAATTATTATAATTGATAATTAATTAATATATTTAAATTAATTAATTATTAATTAATTGGATAATTTTTATAAAATATATAATTCTAATTCAATATCAACTTACGATTCCATGAGTCTCTCATGCAGTTGATGCGCCTTGCTTGGCAATTGGTCATCAGACGACATCTGTTGGCGTCACTACGGTAACAGGACACAATTCTTTTCTCATCACAGCGCATTTTGTTGCAAAGGTGCACATTTTTGACATCCTTAATAAGTTTGCTGGCGCAACGTCCTCTTGAGTCCATTTTAATTTTGCGACATCTTATCAGGCTTGTTTGTCTGAGGTCTGAAAGAAAACAAAATAATTAAATTTATTATAGATCTAGTCAGTTAATGTAATAAGTATCAAGTTTAATCTAGTGGATTTAGTGGATTAGAGTATCTAACGATATATAATTTTTGATTTTCTTACTTACTTGGTTGACCCAACATTCCACGTCTGCAGTTTTCCTCCCTCATCCTACACTCACGTATTCTTCGACACATGTTCGTGGTGCCGGCTTCTCTTATACAAACGGATGGACTACGGTCTCTTGATCTGCATTGACGATTGCATCTGGCATCAGTTGTTGCAAGTGCAACAAGGATCAAAGCTGCAAAAAAATAAGTGGTATGCATTACATTGGATTATATTGCATTACTCGTATCAATTAATTTCCTTCGAAATACTTACCAAGTGCCAAAGTATATTTATTCATTTTTAAGTTCTTAATTCACTTTTTGCTTTACAACACTGTAAATTGCAAGAGTTGGATGTGCTATTCGAAGCCGTATTGCTGTGTATTTATAGTTAATTTTGGGATTATTTCATAATTTTACTTCATTTTTGAAACAATTAATGAGTTGGAAAGGGAATTGTTTCCTTTGGTCGATACATAATTGACACTTACACGTGTGGCACATAAATTTGCATTCGATTTTTGATTTCTTCATTAAAAAACATTGTTGATTCAAAAATTACAAGAAAACATGAATTAAACATTTTGTTTTTTGCGTTTTAATATTTTTTCATTTTAATAATTAATAACATTGCAGAGTAAATAATACATCACTTGAGTTTCTGTTCTTATTTTGCTTTCAATTACACAGTAGCACATATTTATTTATTTATATATTTGTTCATAAATATTTACTGAATAAACATTCTTGTTTACTTATTAAAAAATTAATCTGTACAACTGGAATGAACTTATATTTTAAATAAAAATTAATTCATTTATAGAGAATTTAAATTAATTTTTAAATATCTTTCTCATCTCGAGAAATTAATATTTTTACATGAAATTAATTTGTTTATGGATATTATATTAATTTCTAATACTTTTTATATACATATATGAAATTACAGAAGGTATTATACCTTCTGCTCAAAAAGTACTCGGATTTTGTAAATAAAACACACAAATTTCAATTTTATTCCAAATCTATTTTATCTCCTTCAAAATATGCTCCTTCTGAAGCGACACACATATGTCAACGCTTAACCCAATCTTCCATACACTTTTCGTAGGCCCGTGAAGGTATAGCTTTTAGTTCCTTCAGCGAATTCTCTTTTACCGATTCAATCGACTCAAAACGCTTGCCACGAAGGGACAAATTGAGTTTTGGGAACAGGAAAAAGTCACTTGGATCCAGATCTGGCGAATATGGTGCCTGAGTAATGACAGTGGTGCCGTGTTTGGTCAAAAAATCGCGTACAACAAGAATTTTCCATAGTAAAAATTGCTAAATGCACTTGAGGTAGTTTCATATTAAGAGCTGCTGTAAACGCTCAAATGTGTTCCATATGTCAAGAAAGGGTGTATGCGGCCCATGCCTATTATTTGTGATCCCTGCAACCTGTTGGTAATCTGCCACAATTGCATTAATTTTCCTTTGGTATATTTTGATAAAATTGCATTATGTTATTTTTATGGTACTTTTATGGTATTTTTATTTTTCTAGAAAAAATCTTAAAGTTATAGATTTATTTTTGCGACCCTACAATCTAAATAGAGGTTTCTATTGGCTCGCGAACGAATCTGGATTTGGTTAGCTCTGACATTCATGTTAAGTAAACAGTTGATCGATTAATTATATTAATATTTTTCCAAAATAATGAGGTTCTCTGTGTGTATCAGATGTCAATAAACAATATGCAATATCTTGTGTAGAAAATTCTTGATATTTGAATTAAATAATGAATTTTGTCAATACAAGTCTGTCAAATTCAGGTTTTTGGAACATAGAACAAATATGATATAATTCAGAAATTCATTGCTATACTAAAATATTGCACAATTTTTGTGTGTCACTTCGAACAATGGTTACCTTCAAGGCGAAATACTACCTTCTTAATATTTGATATTTGTGATTGACGAACTTCTTGATCATTTTACAAGTGCCGGCTTTGGTATCTAGTGCTTTGTTGATTACGTCAGTATAATGGTTACGGGTCAAGTTAATACTAGTAGAAAATGAATGCAACTGGTAATAGACATAATATTAGGATGGTGAAAACAGAAAAAAATTTTAATTAGGTCTTAGAAAGTCACGTTTCTACTATTCTTAAATAAAAGTTTGAAGTTAGATACATAGATAGTTTTATGTGTAAGATAAATAAAAAATATTTCACCACTTTAAAGTTTCTATTTGATTAGAAGCTCGAATGGAACAAACACTTAAAAAAAATGATAATCAAGGTAACCAAAAACATGATAGGCTATTACGTCTATAATTAACAGCTCTGTACATAGTCATATAACCTGTAGCAATTAGAAAACTTAGTAGAAATACCCCTGCTTTTCAGTGTTTAGATACTCTGAAATCAGGGGGAGAATGCAAGCTTCACCTCGTTTAATTTGAAAACGGGTTTTCTCAGAAGTGAACATTATGCAGTCCCAATCACTGTTCTTTGGTTTAGCGAGAACTTAAAACTTGAAAACAAGAGTATGGTCATGGCTAGCATGGATCCAGATTTTATATAGTTATTCCAAGTGGAATTTTTTTTGCCCATTTAAAAGAAGTGCTCACAAATGGAAATTTCTTTTACAGAATACTTAAAAGTCAGTACAAAATTGCCACCACTACTATGTATTGCGATAACCAGACAGCTATGAAATCTCTCTAATCCTAATCTACCAAATCTGAGACAGCTTAAAGTTTTTTGTATACAGAAAACATTTTTTATCCATAATAAGTAAAGGTTTTAAAGTAGCATACATGTGCTATACTATAGCATATTTTTCTTAGTTTTTATAAAATTTTTATATATAAATGTGTTGAAAACCAATTCAATGAACGTTGTGCGTTAATATAACTATCCAATAATAGTTTTATATTTGATGGTGGTAATAATATTGATTATAAGGCTCAAAAAGTCCTGTCGATGAAAATTATGTTCATGGATTTATTAATATTTTTATTCTATGGCTTACTATTTTGTTGTCTTTTTGTTCATTTTCCAAAAAAATTTTAAAAGAAAAATAAAATAGTAATTTATTCGAATTTTAAACCTATAATTTAGCTTCAATTGTGAGTATATTTGTTTTTAACTACATGTAATAACACTGTTTTATGTTTTCAACGTTTATTTAATAGTTCATTCAGATGTTATAGAATGTTTTAACAAGTATAATTAATTCTCATCCTTATTATTATGTCAATAGACTTGACAATATAAAACAATTTTGTTTAATAGAAAATAAAGAAACAATATAAATTTTTATGTTGAGTAAAAATACTCAGGTAAATGACCTTTTGTGAATGAGTCTGTCATATTATATTAAAAGTGCATTTTAAAACACTGTCGATAAACCAACCAACAATTAGATTGTTTATATATGTGATATAATAAAATAATAAAATACCAAAATACAGACGATTGCAATTTTGAACTTATAAGAGTTGTTCAGGTGGATTAGTCACCTAAAAATTAAAATGTTCATATATAATATCCGTATATGAAAAAAATAAAATTACTTGTAGTATAGCGGCGGAATATCCATTTGTTATATCCATCGAATCTGCTAAGGCTTAAAATTTAAATGTTTAAATAAATGTGCACATTAATTCCAATATATTTAAATTATTTTAGAGAAAAACTGAAACAGTTTATTGAAAAAATAATGAAAACGTCGTTTTGCTTAATATTTTTCTACTCTCTTGTCCTGCCAAATTTGAACGCAGAGTCAGCGCATCTTAACCAAAGCCGTAATTAACTTTTATGTTCGCACATTTTTCTAAAGTTTTGTTAATTTGCTGTGAAAGTTTTATAAACAAATTCACTTGCTGTGTTTGTATTAGAACGAAATCATAAAACAGCTGTAGAATAGTTAAATTAATTAATTATATTTTTATTTTTAATTGTTAATTTTGAATACTATTATGTTTGCAGAGGCATTATTTCTTGCATGTTTTATATATTCTTTCTTATGTATAAAACCTAATCTAGGAACGTAATACTGAGAAAGTCATGCTAATGTTACACCACGGTTCCACGGGCGAGACCAATATTTTGTGAATATAAGTTGTAACTTAACGTCTTATTTCTCTGACGGAAGTGACTATTATATTTTATAGAAACTAGTATATTACATAAAGAGGTGTTTCGAACAGTAGTGAACTACAACAAAAAAAATTCATTTTTATATTATTTTAATTAATTGAATTTTTTCAATTAATAATTTTGTAAACTATTTTGAAATCCTAATTTTTAATAAATTTGCTATATTTTCTTAAAATTGTATAAATAATTTTTTATTTTTAATAAAAATATGTGACTTAAATTCCCGAATTTGCTTTTGAAATCATGCACATAACAGAGTTTTCGCTCCTCTACTATTCACGCAGTAACAGAATCATTAATTCGTCAAAATAATGTTAACTCACATGAATTGAAAGCATTGCGACGTTATAAATGGAATAATGAATTCGCCACTAAAGATTAACGTTTGCAGTGTAACAACAACAAAGCGTAACTATTTGTAGCTCTCACTCCTTTCGATCAGCTTAACTTTTGCTGCATTCACTAATGCAGATAATGCAAATCCTAAAAGTTCGCTCTCCATTGTTTTTCTTTTGCTGCTCGGTATGTAAAACTCTTTCGCTGCTTGCGTCTAGCGTTATTTATTAACAAATATTAAAACAAAAAAAAAAAAACACAAACAAATATAAGTAAACATTTAAAACAATAAAAAACAAATGTTGTCTTTACTGTTAGAGAATAAAATATTCGCAGTTCAAAGCACCAGACTTCACAAAAAGAAAAAAAATGAATTAAGACAGTTTTATACGCGCATTAGTCGAAATGTGGTGTTTTTGTGTTGTTAAATATTGTTTAGTATAATTAATTATTTATTTTATTGAATAATAATATAATTATTTTAAAATTAATAAAATTTAAAATTAAAGTAGTAAATAATTAGATAAATAAAATTAAATGTTTACTTGATATAAAATATTTAATTTGATATTTATGTGCAATTATTAGTAAATATTGTGATAAAAACTAATGGAAGAAATTATATATAACAAAGTGTGATATTTCAATATTTAAATTAATAATTAATGATATATAAGCAATAACATATATTGTTGGTTATTGCTGATATCAGTATAATATATGTAAGGTAATTTTTTAATAAGTGTTTTTTTTGCCGGAGTTTAGGTTGTTTTTTTATATCATATTATTGTACTTAATATTATAAATAATAATAAGACAACCTAAAGCCCAGTAAAGAAACTTGTAAACAAATCATGCCGATACCAATACTTAAGAAAAT